CCAACTTTTCCGAGGCCAAGAATTCCTACAAACCTAAGTGATTCTAAAATGAAAGCCATATTTCTCTCCCGTATCCTCGTCTCGCTGGTGATATACTTCCACGCGCGTAAAGAAGTTCTCACTCGTTTAATATTACCGTGACGTTCTCTTTACTGTCTCTTTTTTTTTCATTATAGGTACAGCTTCATTTTATCTCCCAACTATTTTTGCCCACGTCTCCGATAACAGGTGGAGGCTTGTAAAGGAACGAGAAACGTGTTCACCTGAAGTGTGATTTCCTGTTCTTTTACTCAGCTATTATTGGATTGTCAATCAATTCGTGAAATATCATTCAAGATATTTTTTTGTGCCGTACAACGGTAGGAATTTTATGAATATGAAGAACGTGATTCGATGCTCTTTGCATGGAAGAGTATATTTAATAACTATATTTCAAGAGTCTACAGTAAATAATGAAAATTTTAGTGTCCCAATGCTGTACAAATAATTTAAAACAAAATATTGTTTATTCAGACAAGTACTGTGAAATTCAAAGTCAACCAGAGAATTATCTATAACCATGGCTCCGTGATTTTATTTAAAGACGCATCGCAATGTCTTTAAAATACACCTCTCATGAGTACAAAAAATAGCCTCACGAATTAAACCAAAAACTTACCCCTAAGTCATGGGCGCAAAAGTGACTCTGATCCCCTTGCTTTAACCATACAAAACGGCGATGTACTTGACCTCAACCTTAATCCCGTTTACAACGCGACATCGTCAAAAAAAAAAGGAAAAAAGAAAACATCTTCTTTTGCCCCGTTACGCACTCGCGTACCCAAAAGTCACGAGCAGGTGTTCCACACGCATCCATACAATATATATACACAAGGCATGACTTTTTTATCTTCTGTACTCTTAATCCTTACAATTTCAAGCTCAGGTACACGTGTCGCGATGACGTCAGGAGTGTACCACCACTCCTCCCTCACGCATCGATTTTCGCCCACCTACAAGTATACCTCATACCGACTGCGCGTTTTTTCTTCCCCGCGATTCTCTCGTCGCAGCTCTTTTCCATTTTTTTTCTTCGTTCCATTCTTTTTTCCCTTTTATGTGTGTGTGAATTTTTTTTTTCACTCTCCCGGGCGTACTCGTTCCGTTTGATGTTTTTTGTTAGTTCCAAGTTTTTCTCCGACGCTCCTCCCGGGCTTTTTGTTTCGCAAAGCTCCAAGGATGACGCGCGACCTTCAAAAAGCGCTTCCTTTCCCGGCTCTTTCTTTCGTTTGACCGTAGCAAAATGTTGTCCGTAATGACTTTTGGTAATTAGAGCAAAACAAACTGATGAAACTTTAACAAGTGACTTGAAAATGGACATTAGGAAAAGTGCCGATCTAGCAGTGGTCACAGAATACTTATACTCTATACTTTTTTTAACGAATGTACAAGACAAAAAAAAATTTTTAACAACAGTACATAATTTTTTTTACGTAACTGTGCAGTTTGAGATAGGAGAGAGAGATTATTGTATCCGCCAAAAAGTACGTGAAAATCGTCAGGCAAAGACGAACGAGAAAACATTACACGAAATGTGGGAACCCGTAACAGATTCATCCAACTGAATTGCCCAAGTTTGCCCTCTGTTGCTGCTGGTGTCGTGTGTATATCACATGGAATCTCAAAATGAATTGCAGTCCATACCGATAAAAAGCTCATTTCTAATATTCAAAAGATTTCATGGTAAACAGTCTTATTACAACATTTTTGCCATCACCTCGTAGTGTGCTCAAGCATCAGAGTCAAGCGTCACCTAGCCAACGCACATTTCCATTATATTTCAAGCTCGAATGCATATACGTGAAAATCGAACTCACGTCACCGAATTGAGCATTGAAGCGCGTTTATTCACGCGTCGCCGAGTAGTTTAATTGGAGGTGAGAGTCACTAGCGATCCCTTCACTTCCACCCCTACCCGACCCGTGTGACCTTTTATTTGCTTCACTCTCGAAACGACTCCGTGTGGTGCATTCCCTTTATTTGGCTCGTTTTTCAGACACTGTGCGTCGGTTTGTGCTTTTTTTGCTCCGCTCTCAGTCGAGAGTATGCACAGACATACGCAACGGGGTTTGATTTGGACTCTATGTGCTAGAAAAAGCGGTTTCGCGAGGGGAAAATCTCTGTGATTCGTGGGGTGAGAGGATGCGATTAATTTTTCGAGGTCCCGTCTGCGCAACGTTGCGAGGGATTTGAGAAAAATCGCTGATGGATGGTGTGTCGATACTTTTGTGGGAAAAATAACACTGTTTTTTGCTTCTTTACTTCGAATCATCTGTAAACGCATACATTTAAAAAATTATTTTGTGAAAGAAACTACAATAGCGTAAGAATAGGTCGAAGATGTAGTTTTTTCAAAATGTATTATTCAGCAAAATCAAGAGAACTTAACTTTGAGATACAGCTTGATGGGGGTAAGTTCTGCGCTACAGAATGGGATTTTTTAAGCTTGAATTATCCATTTTGACCTCAAAACGCCGATTTATCCCATACTTTTTATCTCAGAGCCCAGTTATCTCCACACGGGTGACAAGCTGTTTCCACCAAGGCTCCATATGCTCACTTTTGTCGATTAGCTAAACAGGGCCATCAAAGTTTTAAAGCTCGGAAACTCAAACAAAAAAAGGCACACATCTCGATGACCCTCAATCTCTCGGAAGAAAAAAAGCAACACCCCGTCCTCACTTTGTTGCGATAATAACCCGGAAATAAGTTGCTCTCGGCGCGTTTGTCTCTTTTATCAGACACTCAAAGAAACTTTTCGAAGAAGAGGAAGGAGAGGAGCTCCAAATTCCAGCCCCCATCCTTTTCTTAACGAAAAACTCTCTGGCTTTTTTCATCCCAGCCGACGTTGATGGCTTCATTGTTTCTAATGACTTTCTCCCAACTGCTTTTCGACACACCTTTTTCCCTTCCCTCTTTTTCCCTGGAAGATTTATCGTTCTCTCGTGCAATTAAAAGAGCATGGGCTCTTTCGGACACCCCGGAAAATTCGTCGATTTGCCATGAGAGAAAACTTACTCATTAGTATTCGAAGCTCATGCGTAGTTTAAGGCAAACGATACATGAAACTTTTACGATCCTTTTGTTAAAAAAAAAAAAAAAAAAATCCACTTGTGTTACTCTTACGATGCCCACCTACATTCATGTGTAACTTTGCAAAAACTGTACGTGGAGTTTGCGAGAAAAAGCCAAGTCTGAAATCTTTTTTCCAGCGTATTTCATCCCCTCCGGCGTCTTTCTCTCCCTACCTACCTACCTACGTGCACTTGTTACGCCACAATTCTCGCAAATTGTGTATTTTTGTCTCTTTCGAGTTCCCTCCGCTCCACGAGTAGTTTCTCAGCGGAACTAAAAAATTTTCCTCCGCTGTTTCTGTAAAGTTGGAAAATCCACGGTAAGGATGGACTCGTTTGTTCGGTCGTTATGGGCTGAAATGTAAGTTACGTTGCAGAGGAATATTTTATGCTTCTCTTGAAAAAAAAAAAAAAAAAAATTAGTGATATTTCCCGAAACTCACGGATCCCCGGACGAACTTCTGTTAAAAGAGACTCTCGTTACATTCTACTTCAAGCACGAGGACAGAGCTTTGTTAATCACCCTATTCCTTTTTTTTCTTCAATGACAATCGCCATAAGCAGCTAATTTTCTTTTTTCATTCAAACTTCGTTGAAAGGGCAGAAAAAGAGTTAAACGATGGTAAAACCACAAGCGACTTTTTGTAGAAAATAATTTTCCACCTCCTGCAGCTTATTGACGAAAATATCGATTATACATTTATTTTTGCACTTGTATATATTTGTATGTATACATGTATGTATGTTTGTAGTTACTTTTAACACAACACACGCGCGCGCAGAATGAAAAGTGCCAGCATCACGGAATTAAGAAGGCCCAGGCTTAAAAGCACGTCAACCGTCAAAGCTCATCGCACCTCTGGAGATTACATAATCGGACCCTCATTATATGTACACACGCGTACACAATCTTTTCATCTCACGCTGGTGTATAATATATAATCGTTATACAATACGCATATACACTGTGTACAAATTATCGCGATGCGAATGCGCTTTGCGCTTTTTTTTTAAATTATATTGTTTCTGTTTGTTTTTTCCTTGAAAAACTCACACACAAAAACCGATTAACGCAATTAAAGCTGATGGGATTTTTGGGATATTTGAGGATCATTCTCGAGCGAATTTGCTTTACCTTAAGATTCGAGCATCCATGTGTCACTATACATATACATGACAAACACCATTGTATATACATTGAATGTAAAAATTCAACTGCTACAGGAATAATAATAAATTTCATGAGACGACTCGTCGGGAGCAAGAAAAGACAGATGCCAGAATCCAAGTGAACGCAAATCCCTTGAAAGCTCCGTTGCTCTTTTTTACAATCCAAAGAGAACTTTCTAGCCCACAGTGTATCCTTTTTAGTTAAGATCTTGTTCTCACCTCCTCGTTACACTTACACACACAATACACACATACGTACAACGTGTTAACACTTTGTTAGCTTATACCGATAACTTTACCATAGTCATTATAATATTGTATACAACCATAATTTGCTTTATTTAATATCATTTTTATTATAACTATGATTATTTTTTCTTAATAATCTGTCCTTAAAATCTACGGGTGATATGTACCAAATGGAAGATTCGTGCCACCAATGTATACACGTACGCATATCTCTTTCTTTTCTTTTTTTTGAGAAAAAAAAAAAAAAAAGATCGGCACGCATATGACATTACATACTATATGTATACAGGTGCGTGACTCGCGTGCGCCCGGGACACGATCGGGCCACGCGAACGCGCGCCCCCCACCTTCTCCTTCATCATCATTATTTTTATCTTCTCATCGTTACTATCCTTTTTTTTTTTTTTTTTTTTTTTTTTTTTCTTTTACGATTAACATGACCGCCTATTTTCTGACAACCACCATGTATTTTTTTTTTTTTTTGATTTTTCATTTTTATCCTACTACTGACCTTGCGCTTTTTCTCTTTTTTAACCAACTTTTTTGGCTACGTTTCTATTAATAATGTACCATGAGAACATATACAACGTAACGTTTCTTTTAACTTGACGATCGATGGTATGTATATATCTTTTTTGGTATGATTTGTGTGTGTTTATTTTATGTAAAATGTTGTCAACAACCCAAATTGACGAAAAAAAAGTAAATAAATAACATGTCCTGTAAACAACGAAGGCTTTTTCCGTTAAATTAATCACAATATTACGAGTAATCGCGTAACAATAAAATCTAAAGTCGTGAACGTATCAGCCGATCATCTTTGTGCACAGACGCACTCTACTAATGATGATGACGATTTCTATTGTTTACGGTACAACTGTTTTATTTTATTTTTAAATCAGATCGTACATACGTGTACCAAGTGATAATGATTTTTTCTTTATTTCTTCATAACTCACACATTTTATGTATCATTACGGTGGTTGACTTTAACAATACCTCATAATGTAATCTTTTGTCCTGCCGCTTAAATTTAATATGACATATTTATTATAATAATAATTATTATTTTCATTATGCTCCAAAACAAATCGGATCGCCTTGGGCGACTGATTATACACATTTAGGCTGCGATCGTTCGTTTGTTTTACAACGAGCACTCGCGTTATTCATATAGAGCACTCAAGAGCGTGTCATTATTGTTACATTGCATATACACGTCCACGCGTGCTTTGTTTATGTTTTTTTTGTTCTTAGCTGTGTTCATCGGTTCGTGAGTGGCAAAGGGAAATTCGTTGATTGCACGCGTAAAGCACGCAGAGGCGAGAAAAGTTGAAGCATGATGTACAGAGGAGGGAGAAACTGTCCAAGGGAGATGATTCTCCAGACACTTGTTACCACGTATCAACCCAATTACGTGCTGTTGCTGTTGTTACAGTCATGGAAACAGAATAGAGAGAGAAATGAGAAAGTACAGTGAAATATATTTCGCGTAAGTCAGTATCGGAACTCCTGCGATTTCCGTAAGGATTACCATTGGGAATCCGAAGCTCTTCACCACGAGTCGTTGTGCAGATGACTTATCTCGAGCTCGGCTGATCCGAAATAATAAGAAGAGTCGTTCGGGAGGACGATAGTTTAGCGTGATTTAGACGTAAATTGAAAACTGATAAATGGAATCGCACGGTGTAAGTGTGGCAGACGATGCTCGCGGCCTGCGTATGCGTACGCGCGGGGGGAGGCAGATCGCGTGATTAATTACCTCCGGTGATTCGTCATCGGACGAAATGTTGTTTGATCGTCCCTCGTGTCGATCAATTTTCCGTGACAGTAAGCAAGTGTTGTTTTGGTTCCCGCAGGCCAATGTAACTTTGGTATGTATATACGTGTACATACGAAAAAAAATGAAAAATGACCCGGCAACCTGTGTTATCTTATTGTAGAAAAAAAAAGCGCTCTACCACTACGTCAATTTGGAATATCTTTTTCCTTCGTAACTCATTCTGGATGCTTCTTTTTATTTCATCCCGATTCGATGTAAATGTTCCACCGACCAGTTTCTCGTAAATATTGAAAAAAAAGACCATTAATTTTTCCACATTACGAACAAGCAACACGTCATATTAGATTTGATGCGTCGGAAATTTTATCCATAAATACGAAAAAGATGAAATAAGTGGAAACAACAGGAGTAACAGCAACAGTTTCATGTGGTTGAATAACGCGAAAAAGAGGCAAAACAGTAACACATTGCGCAAAAACATCTTTGAATAATGTCTCATCCCTACAGGACTCCTCCGATCCTCGTTCCACACTATCCCTTCGATCTCGCCTCAGAGCGTTCCCAGTACCCCCCTCCACCAACGCCCAACACCTCTATCGCGAGCCAGCGCGACGCTACTCCTCGTCATTCTCCTTTCGTGTGACGGTCAGCTTGCAAGGTTCAACAGCAGGACTAAACTTGATGTGTCTAGATGTTCCACGCAACGGGCCTGGCTCGGAGCAGTACCAGTGGACTCAACAGGGCCATCCACGCTGTCACTGTTAGCGAGCAACTGCCCCGTAAGCCTACAGCTCCTGCAGATATGTTGGACGTCACTGCGCCACTGCAGACTTCCGGAGTTGGGTCTGCAATCAGAGTTGGATTGTCATTAAAAAAGTGAATAACTTTTTTTACTGGATACAAAGTTATGGGTTTTTTCGCATAGAGAGCTATGCGTGTCGTACTTTTTGTTTTACTGTGCATGGAAAAGTACGAGTCTTCTTCATACATTTTTTTTCAAACATATGCTTTTAAACGAATTTTTTACAGAGAAAGAGAGAGAGAGAGTTTGAGAGAGATTCGAAACAAAATTCAAAGAAATCCACTGTTGATGTTTACTTGAAAAATGATGTTATTGACAATGTAGATTATAACGTATTCATACATACTGCTCAAGTTTTTAATAATTTTTTATTTTAAAGTTTATTTCATTCAGAAAATGCAATTATAGTGATTTAATTGAGGAATCACAATCAATCGAAAATTTTACACAGGAACAAGTAGATCAATATCGAGTACGGTCAGACATACTTTGGTAAATTTGAGTTCAAATAATATGTCTACAGTTATAATCAGTTCTCTTATAAAATAAACTAACAAGACTTATTGATGCATAAAAAATCCACACATTTTAAATAATAAATAGCTACTAAAATTTTATCACTAGATATAACTTTATATCCAGAAATTTAGCTCGGCAAGTTTTTGATGCCTTTGTTGGTTTTCATAGATGAATTTAATTTAAAATCAATGTTTAAAAATGGATGGTCACTTTTTACGTTACATACAACTTTAATTAAAGCTCTAGAAATTATTTTAATTTAAAGGCTTAACTGATCATTTTGAAAGTAATCTCAATTGCATCACAGTTGGTTTTGTGCCGATGAGCAGTATTTTTAAGACTCGAGTTATTAAAAAAAAAATTTTTTTTTTAAGGTCATCAACGTTGTACACTTTGATGCTACTTTAATGCTATGGAATAAAAAGTACTGGATCATCCCTTTAAAAAATGTCACAAGTTTCAACTTTTCAAGCTTGTTAAACTTTTGAAAATGATTAAGGTAGCTAATTTCAGATGAAAGGAAAGTACACTACATTACATCTGTACGACGTTTCATAATTATTTTTAATCAAAAAATTTATCTCGTTTGTCCAATGAAGCCTCATCGTATGTATTCAGTTTTGCCTAAGTTTTAATTTTATTTTGTAAGGTTAAACAAAAACATAAAAAATACTGAGTACTATCAATATATGTTATAACAGCCTACATGAGTCACAGCATATATTTTTAGGTCCCGAAAGCCATTTAGTTTCGTAACATTGAAACACAACACTTATCCGAGACACTAATTGTTCCACGTGTGAAGAAAAAATAGCATTTAAAGTAACAAATTTTACGAGCATGTTTCCAATAAATCCCAACGTGGAGGAACACAATGTACAAAAAACCGAATCTACCAGACGGTAACTTTGGAAAAAAAAATTGGCTATCCTAACTTTGACCATCCTTATTTTTATCAATCCTGCTTTCTAAGCCAGTCTCGCGTAACTGGTAAATTTATACCCCGCAAAAAATAACCAGACACCATTATCCCTCCCCACCACTTGATTTCCTTCGAAATAGCAAACAACAACAAACTCGTTCCTAATACAAACGTAAAAAGAAAAAAAAAAAAAAAGTGTCACTGACTCCTCCATTAAATTCAACACTTCCAAAGCAGCTCCATTTCCCTCCTCCAAAAAGGACCAACCAAAATTCTCCACATCCGGCGATAATAAACCTTTCAAAATCAGTCACGGAACTCTACTCCTCTCTTTCCCCGATTAAAAGTATACCAAGAGAAGTTGACTCTGCCGGCTAATAGCCGTCGGATCGCTTGATAAATCAGCGTCCGCGATAAGGCCTGAAACCCATACCCACGCACGCGACTCCAACAATCAACCTGTCCCACCCATCTCCCTCTTTTCCCCAGCTGAGGATGTACATTCATTTTTGGTTCTTTTGCTTTGTTGGGGAGGGGGGGGAAGCGAGGTCCGGCGATTTATTTGCTGCTGCTGATGCGCAGTCTGTCCGAGTGCGAGCTTCTGTAATTTGCGCGGCCGCGACGAGATCTATCGGCAATTACCCGGAGACATGGACCCGGGGCTTACTTTTTCGGCCGCGAGGGGCACATCGGCTTGATTGGGATGTGATCGCGGGTCCGTTCATGTATATATGTACCCTCTGGTGCGGGAATCGGGTGAGTTGGGAGTTTCAGGCTGGGAGCTGGGCTTCGCTGCGGGTGTGCCTTTTTTCTTTTCACCCTTTTAGGCGTGACCGATTCGCAGGGGAGCCTTTTGTATTTTTCATCAGAGCGAAAAAGCATCTATAAATTGTCCATTTTTTGGGGTATGGGATAACTTTAGTACTCATTGAAAAAATGTGTGAACAATAAATCGTATTTATCCTCGATGACATTAGCAAATGCATGCATAGTGTTTAAATTCCAAAAGCAACATTTAAACTAAAATGAAATAAAAATTAGATAAGAGGTTCGTGTATTCATTGAAAAGAGTTAAATTTTTTTTTTTTCTCATAAGCTGACATGCATAAATAAAATGTAATAATTTCAACTTTAGCTCTGATGAAAAGTGTTACAATCGTATTTTGAATGCTTCATTTTCTAAAATGTTTTTTTAAACTTAAGAATTTGAATAATTGACTAAGTTAATTTAAACATAAATTGGTAGTTTTTATTTGAAAAAATGAATATAAATAGATATTAATTGTCCATTGTATGAGTTAACATTAAGCAAAGAGCTACACTACTGAGTACAAGGTGTGGTTATTAAAATCCTAAATTTTAATGTTTATTCTAATATGTTTGTGTTAGCCTCAAGAGAAAGAAACAAATAATTAGGTCATTCATTAAATTCAACTCTGCCAGTGAATGCATTGTCTCTTTACAACTATAATTATTTTGGAATCAGTTTAAAATTGGCTGAGAAAATACAACCCACGTCATTCGTTTGTACTTTCATCGTTTTTCTCTTATACTTCCCCAGAAACGATAAACTCACAAACCAACACACGACACCCTCAATCTCTCCCTTGATTTCGCCCCTTGGTACGCTTATGCAACCGCAGAGCTTATCGATTGTTCCTGGCAGCTTGTGCATTTCAATTATTCATTCTTGGACCAGCAGAAAAAGAGAAAATAGTCTCGCGTGTCGGAATTAAACATTTCCAGCCCAGGAAGGGAAAAGGAGGTCAAGTGCTCATCGGAAAGAGATGCGCCGCCAGGGAGCTCCAAAAATACATTCGGTTTAGTGCCCGCTGCCCGAGGATTGCCAGGACTCCCTCCCTCCATCCCGTTGTCTGCTCTAGGTATCTTTTTTCTCCTTCATTTTTTGCAGGTCTTTTTCGCTGTCAATGATTTAGCTAGCGATATTTGCGCGTAGGATACAGCGGGGGGTAGGAGAAAGGAGGAGGCGACGCGCGTCTTTCAGGATTTAGTGTCCTCAAGATAAGAGAGAGAAAGAGAGAGAGAGAGAGAGAGAGAGAGAGAGAAAAATAGGGGAAGGGGCTGGAGGGATTATAGGAGGAGCCTCGATGTGTCTTCCTGCGAGACTTTGATATTGGCTCTCGTGTTTTCTGTCGTTTTTGCGAATGGAAAGGCTTTTAATTATAGTGGTTGGTTTTTTTTTTTCGTCGGGCAGAGAGTTTTAAAGATTTTTTTTTTCTCTTTCTATTTCCATCGGCTTGTGGACTCTGTGGGAGTTGAACGGAATTAATTTACTAGGCGTATAATATTACTTTTCCAAGGCTATTTTAATCGGACAACTCACGTGCGGGTATTTTATTAATACACTTGAAATAAAGTACTGATACTAAAGCCATATTAGATTTTCGGATCATTACAATGCTGTTAACTGAAAAAGACTTAAGGATGGCCTTGATTGCGATGAAAGACGCAACTGTCATACCAAAATATTTAAAAAAAAAACGAGCTCTAGATTGGAAAATTTCTCACTACAAAGTTTTAAGTAATCATCATAATGTATATTAAATGAACTACCCGCCGCAAGAGTTGAACAAAATTTTGTTACTTACAGATTTCGTTTCAAATGAGCGAGAGTTTGTAGTGAATGAGCAAAAATTAGAAGGATAAAGGATAATTTTGATTTTTGACTTTGAACCGATACAAATTATGCACACATTCAATAGTTTCGATTACTCGCTGGAATTCTTGAACAAAAACTGTGTCATAGTCCTAAAAAGTCCTCTCGCTAAGTCGTATGACTGATAAGAGTAACGAGCTGATTAGATTTTCAAAGTAGTTGCACACGAGCAATTAAAATTATTCTCAACTACATCTCTCATTCCAAACAACATCAAATAATTTGCGAAATTGTCGAAAGTTGCAATATTACATCGAGTCCAGGTGTACACCGACATTTCAAACTTTCAGACTCTATGATGCAAAAACTTCCACGAGAAGAGCACGTCTCGATGCGATGAGTAAGCGCGTCTGAGAGGGTTAAAGAAGGGACTAAAGGGAGTAGCTCTCGGCACAAGGTTAACGGGAGAGCAAGACTGCGTCAGAGGTCGAAGAAAGTACCCACCACCGAAGGGGAGGGGTGGGATGGGCCTTTGCGGGCTCGGTAGATTGAACGAAACGGCGCTGGGACGAAAGAGAGAGAGAGAGAAAAAAAAGGCAACAAATAAGGGTCGTCAGGATGGAAAAGCAGCCCAGGTCGAGGGGACAAAGTTAGATAAGTCGTCAGTAGTGGCGACGACGCACACGCAAGCAGAAAAAAAAATAAAAAAAAAGAAAAGAAAATAAAGAAGCTTAAGAGGAGGCGCCTGTGTGGGTGTATACGAACGTACCTGGTACTCCTTTTAGCCGTGGCAGGAAGTCGTTCCAAAACGCGCAGGCGGTCAGCCGGGGTCCCTTGCCCATGCCGTTTTTCTCGGCGTTGAAAATGTAGTAGTACGGGTCGTCCCTCGTGTAAGGCGGCCACTCGCTCTCCTCCAGCGTTGGCTTACTGAAAGCAAATATACATCAAACCGGTCGGCTTAGTCTGGTTTCATTTTTTTCTTCCACAAATTTATTTCCACAGCTTGATGCTTGGGACACGTGTGAAAAAAAAATTTTACGATCGATAGCCTAATGCTCTTTCAATATGTTTACGCGGTTTTTGGGTCAGCGGGCTTGTGGATGCCTTAGAAAAGGGAATATAAAAATTGTAATCTTTTCAGACTGGAGGACCAATACTTTTTCAAATTCTTTGTGATGTAATTTTTTCTTTTAAACATATGATGCATTATTCGTTTTAACCTTTTTTTTTTATCAAGTACCTATTCAACACAGTACTTGGAATTTCATCCTAAAAATGTAATGCTTTGTTATACTTGTATTTATATTTAATTATGTGTGTATATTATTCGTTATTCACAAAATAAATCTATGTAATAACTATAGCATAACAAAATGTAAAAGACAAATGGGTAACACCTATTCAAACACTTATTTGTGAATGTTATTCTTCAATAGTACATAGCACTACTAGTAGTATAAAAAAACTTTGTCAATTACTGTGTTTTATGTAGTAATAAAAACAAAAAAATTTTTCATCTAAATTATCATCCACCACTGCCCATTTCTGGAAATGATTTATTCCACGAATCCACGTGATAATTGCGCCAAAGTCCGTTCTATTGTACGTTATTACCTAACGAATGAAACTCCACTCGACTCCTCAGAGGGTGACGTTAAAGTATACAAACCACCCAAAGTTCGCGATTCGGCACTCGTGTGGTCGGAATGAACTTCCAAATAACAAACCGTTCGTTTGCCCTGAGCTTTCGAAAAATCGTCCCACGAACGACCAGCACCAGCAAACCAGACGTATGGGCGTAAGTCGTACTATACAAGCGCTCTCATTATCCTCTAGTGTGGGAAGGACGCTCGCGGATGATAAACGATTGTTTCTCAGATTCAGTGGAGCAAACAATAAAGGAACACACGTACGAGCGCTCGGCTCCTCGTTTTGCCGGGGGACGATAATGAAAGCGGAAGAAACAGCCCGTGATGGAAAAGTCTGGATAGCTACGTGCGATTAACTTTGTGCCGATTAATTTTCCGAATAAATAGTTTTCTCCGGATGCTCGTGGGTGGATATGCTGTGTTATTGTGCGAATGAGTTCGAACAAAGTGGAAATGGGAAAGGAGACCTAGCGAGCAGGTGAGCGTGGGGTGAATCGGAAAGGGTGGGATAATAATCAGAATGTATGAAAAAGCTTCGGAGTATATAATATTTTGGTTGAGAAAAATCATCAAATGAAAAATTCATAACGAATCAAGTACGATAGTGATTCATCTCGCTGAAGGTGGGATTTTGATGAAGCTTTGAGAGATAATTTTTATTTTTTACATGGAAAAAAGTACTTTCCATGTCTCCTTATGCATTATCTAGTATATTTTTTTCAATCTAAAAACAAAAACAAACTCGGTGACACTGAGCTAGTTTCTAATCCCAGAGTTAAATAGCATAAAATTTTTCCATCAAAACTCATGACTCTATGCTTCCGTTTTAACTTCATCCATATGTACGTATTATAAAATACCAATAAACAATAATTTTGATACACATTAAAACTAAACAGAGATGTGAGATACCTCATGTGCAAAGGTCAGTAATATAATTTCTTAGTATTTTTTTTTTTTTTACTGTGAAATATTAGAGGTTATCCTCCAAAGTCCTTAAACATCCTTTACCCAGAAATCAGGCACGCCCTCGTAAGCCCTGCAATATTATCCTTCATGATTTATGTATGGTTACGCATTAATCATCGATCGAATAGGGGTTACATTCAGTATGCAGAACCACAGATACAGCACAGGTAATTTAAAATCTCACACGATCAATCAATCAGCATACACATGCACTTTTAAGTTTCCTTGGTTGCCGTATGTCTCAAAAATTCGTAAAACTGAGGCGACAACATTACCACTCGCGTGTCCGAATAATATTACGGCGAGGGGAGCCGAAGGGGTCGGCGAAGATAAGCGAGCCGGCTGAAAGGCCCCCCTGAAGATTGGAAGCTGATACCGGCTCGCGGAATTATCGATAAGCCGATGCAGTTTGCCACCATATACACCGCGACTACTCGCCGCTTAACTACCCTCTGATCTATGGTACCGTAACACGAAACGACGCACTGCTTTTGCCACCCGCGCGTGTGTGGCTCTGTGTGTGTGTATTGGGGTGACGATGGGTGAAGCCGATGGATTTTCTTTTTTCTCAAGAAAGAAGACGGATGCTCGGCGCTTAGGCCGTAGCTCTGCGAGTCGCGCAATGTGTCTTTGAAGCTTTATTTCGTGCGCGTGACGCGAATCGGTCGAGAAACATGCGACTCCGGGGTCGGGCTCAATTTTTCGCCTACTCGGTGTTTATTGCGATCGTGCTTTGTGAATAACAATAGTCCTTGTTTTGCGAGAGGATTAATAAATTTTACTTTCACTCAGGGCGAATCACCCGAATATCGATAGCTTTCTTTGGATACTCCTGAAAGTATTTGTGATGAAATATAGTTCGTGGAAAAAAGTAACAATATATATTTAGTACCGATGGTGACGTCAGCTAATTTCAGTTGATTTATGTATTAATTACGCTCAACATTTATCACTACACTTTTTAGTAGTGATATTCATGTGTGCACCATAATGGTTAAAGTATCTCCGAGTTTCAAACGAGTATATGTGTACCTGTTTTCCTCTTTCTCGAAGCTATCGAATTTTGCATGTTATTAAATTGAAATTGAAAGTAGAGAGCAATTGTTAGCTCAGTTTTTTCTAAATGAACAGTGTTTGCGATGTAAAAACTACAGCAGTTTAAGTGGACTAAAGTCAAACGAAAGCTTTAAAGTAAATGAAAATAAAATGAACGTGAGTAAAAAGCAGTGCTCGAGAGGGGCGCACTTAAGAGCAATCCTGTCGAGCGACGACGACGACGAGGAGGAGGACTAAAAAGGAGTCGATCTTCTCGACAGTGGGATTTATGAACTTCAATTTTTCGCGTCTCGGAGTCATAAATCTTCAATATCTACGAGATATCTCTCGCCTATCGACGCCTGATGCATACCGTGGTGTAGGGCACCTACCTTTTCCTAATTCGTTTTAAGGATCAATTCCGCCCTGACAGACATTTTTTTCCTCTCTCTTTCTTCATCCCACATTTTTCCACTTCTTTCTCATTATCCGAGTAATGTGCTCTCTTTTGGTCTTGGAAGCTAAGAGAGACGGCGATAATTAACTTTTCTTCTTATGCAGCTGTGCAGCATTTAATTTAATTTAGTGTATCCAAATTACTGTTTGATACAGCTAAAAGTTATTCTTTTCGTGATAGCTTGGCACCATCTGTATTTTATTTTTACCAAGTGTTTCTCTTTTTTTAGTTACTTTATGTCGTAAGCAATGAAAAAATATCTCATCTTCTTAGCTTCGAGGAACTAAACTTCAATTTTATTTAATCGAAGAGTCTTTTATTCAAAAACATTACTCCATCGCCTAGTGATATATGTTCAAATACAAGCTGTACGTAGCAAGACTATTTTCACGAGATACGACTCGAGCCGTCGAGCTGACGTGTAGCTCGAACGTGATGAGAAATACGGAGAGCGCTGACAAGAAGGTTGTAGTGAATGTAAGAGACGCCGAGCGGAAATTTCGTGTCGTTTTATAAACTGTTGTCGGAGAAATTCATCTTTTAGCTCGTAACAAAGCTCGGGTTGGATATTGTAAAGCGCTGTGAGGTGTTAAAGATTTTTTTTTTTTTTTTTATTCAACAGTGCTAATGAGTAAAGTTGAGCAAAATATAAGTAATAGGCATTTTTTTGATCTTCGAGTTATTGCAGCCTTTCTTTCAATTGTACCGTCATACAAAAAAGGATAGAATGAGACACATAAAAAAGGGACGTGAGTGACCTATATCTCGAGACAAGATGAGGCAGTTTTAATAAAAATTGACAACGTATTTGCTGCAATACTTAGATTTTCAGTAGAAACAGCCACGCTTGGTTAGACGTACTTTTTTCGAGATTTTTTAAATGCATAACTTTCACATCTTTACTAAAATAAATGAATCGTATCTTGGTACAATGTTTGTGTTATAACATATTTAATAAAAATAAATATGTTATATTATACAAATGTTGAGCAATAATATTTCAACATCACTAAATACTTAAAAAAGACTGTCAAACATTTGAAATCGAAGAAAAAACATTTGAAAGCAAATTGTAACACTATTTTTCAAACAAAAACGAGTTCAACTGGTGGGTCAAAGGAAAAAAAAAGTCGAAAAAATATACGTACACTGCCTAAAGCATCAAAGTCAATCTTCTGTAGATGTAACGCTGTTTCGAGCAAAATTTTTCAAAACCATTAAACAACGGATGAAGAGTCAAAGCGATGAAAATTCACGTGTACACGTACATACATACCTCCACTCGATTTTGAGGATCAAATTATTTTTTCAGAGCCAGAATGATATTATAAGCTCTTTTTTGCGCTAATCACCAATGACGAATATTTGATCGTTTTTGACGTATTTTTCTCTCTTTCTTTGGCACTCATTTTTTTCATAATTCGTAGAACACCCCAGCACTATCAATCTGTTTAAGTGCGCTTTAAATCATGAAAAATTAAAAAGTGAAGAACAAAAAAAACAAGGCAAGATACACTAATGGCCTGGAAAAAAAAGAATGCCAAAAGTATACATACACTTGACTGTATGCTACAAAAGAGTGGCAGAAAAAAAGACTAATCGACAAAAGAGCCGAAGATTGCGAGTACAGGGTACACTATTTTCTCGTTCTATTGTTTGCACATGTATACAGCTGTATAATGCAAACACCACTTTTGTTTTTTTATGCTCATCCGATATATCCTTACGTCATGAATAACTAGTGCATGACTTGAAGTCCCTCGGATAATGTTACCCATCGATGTTTGTGTTTTGATATGAAAATAAATTATGAATGA